GAATCATGATTTCATCCTATCATTATTTTATCATATTCAACTCTGATAAATATGGTGGACCGCTCCGAGTAACTGTAATAAATGTGGTATGTATTTTGGGTAGAGATTTTGAGTTTTGCAAGACAAAAACAATTATTGACTTGGATTAATCTTTATCTTACGGGAAAGTTCGATCATCGAGTGACTCTTACCAACCCACTTCAATTCTGAATAATATTACTCACTAGAGTGAACAATGACTATGCTGATAAGAGTTTCAGAAACTTGGACAGTATTGTGACTGTTTCAGGTCCTAAACAGTCTATTTATTTATGTATGATGGTGACTTTTACACGTGAAAACAATCAGTGATCATTGTGAATGCTATAGGTTCATAATTTTAACTTCTTTATTTGTCTTAAATTAAGACTCTATGCTCAACCTATCTTCATTTCCACCAAGCTTCAAAGATACTGATGATAAAAAATATGTAAACGTCTTACCTAAGTATATTCTCTAATAATCTTGTTTTATAGATATCAAATAGATAACGAAGAACTATTTGAACCGCATATTCATCACTTAATGGATAAGAAAATATTTCAATTGCATTGAAGCTGGTAAACACAAAAAATAATGAGCTCAACTTTTCTAGTTTAGAAATAAACAATAGTCATGAAATCATTTCATTTTTTTAAAAGGATGATGATCCCTAACCTGTTAGATAGTAGTAACAATAACATGACCACCTTAAATGATAGATAAATAACTAACCTCAAAATAAGAAGAAATTTTTTATTTTTTTATCCCATGATTTAAGCCTCATAAACTTATGACTATTATTTGTCCCTTAGGTTCCTAGTGAAACATAGGGCTTCAGTAACACGCCTCCATTGCAATCTGTTCTCTGCAGTCTTTTGAACCTGGTGCCACGACTGCCCACAAGCTTTCATTTCTTCCTCACACCATCTCCTCCATATCACCCTCGGCTTAGATGCCCAACTCGTCGTTTCCCATTTGAGTTGCAATACAGGGCTTGGGGCGTCATGTCTCCAAATGGCTTTCTCAGTGTATGCCCAAACCAATCCACATCCACTTTCTTCTGCATATTTGTTGGGCTATAGGTTCTTCCTTCATTGCTTTGTCGCCAGCCAGCCAGCCAGCCAGAGTTCCTTCTTTCTTATTCCTATTATTCTGGCCATCTCATCTGATCTTTAGCAACGAGCCAGCGTAGGCAGTTGTTCATGAATGTCTGTAGTTTGTTGGAAATGCTTTTCGTAACGTGTCAAGTCTCTCAACCATCACATAGAAGCACTGATTTACTTGATTGAGATTAGTGTTGTAAATCCAGATCTTGTTCACGCTTTATGCTGATTGCAGTCTAGTGCAGTAGATCTCCATACATAGTGTGGACATTGCATCTCCCCATGCTTACTTTAGCTCTCATCAAGAGAAGAGAAGACACATCGGCCAATTGGCTTCCCGAAGGCTTTCACCAGCCGGCATCCTTTCGCCTCTCCGATTCCAGCGAGGAATGAGTTTATTTTTACTTTTTCTTTGTTGTTTGAAGTTTCTTTAACGATTGGATTGGTTTTACAAGGTAGGGTTGCTAGCCCTACGCCCATCCTTCCCTCTTTATCCGGGTTTAGGACCGGCTAGTAACTAGTGAACTTGTTAACCAGGCGAGGTTCTCATAAACTTACATTGTCAAAAATAATGTAAGTTCTTATCCCGTTTAATAAAATAACAATTACCATTTTAACTATCTGAGATACCAACGGTTTGGCAGACTAGTATTTATACTGGGTGATGAATGAAGGTGAAATGAAAATTTGGACCGCAGTCGGATTCGAACCAGCAAGCGCCGGGTTTATGGCCCAGTGCTCTACCAGCTGAGCTATGACGGTCCGACTGCTGACCAAATTTTTATTTCACTTCAATCAATGAGGGTTTTGCCCGACTACCATGTGGATTCATGAGACGTTACTATCGCTTGATCGTACTCAAACTGACTGCCCAATGCAGGACTTCTTATTCCGATTCAAATCTGACTGGATTAGAGAGGAGGAGCATGATATTGATTATCTGAGATAGCCGTAGTCTGGTGATAATTGTATAACAATTTTCAATCATTTTATGTGTTGAAATAAGCTTATTTTGCCTGATAGAATAATAAGTGGATAATTTGACGTTATGCATGCGTGTATTGATTAAAATGCAAATATATTTCTCGATAGATAGAAAATGTTTGCTATACTCAGTGAGAAATAAGTACAGCTACGAGCTATCCATTTCAGCTCAGCATGCAGAATACAAATTTCGGTTAATTGTGTCTATCGATCAGGTGTACAATGTAACGATTATGATAAATGACACTACACTGTAGTGGACGTTGTTTAGTGGTGAATATTAGGAGCCGATAGATCATCAACTCATCAACCATGACTTGAATAGCTTAGTGACAGATTCGTTAACTTAAGAATGACAGCAAAGATACTAACATATTACGATCCAGTAAGGCTTATCTGCAGTCTCAATGCATCTAATCTAGTCCTATAAGAGGTCAGTTGTGGACTGAATAGCTCATTGGTAACGTTGCTGATTGCAACACTGGGGGACATAAGCTTAAACCTCAGAGGGGACATCAGTTCATTCGATGTTGCAGATACACCATGCTGATGAATGCCGACAAGCACAAAACCTAGGGTTTCAACAAGGGTTTCCTGCTGACTACCCACAACCAACTAACACATATCAAAGCTGGATCGCGATAGTTAGCCCTCCCTAGCTAAGTGGACACATTACAAAGTGATCGACAGAATTCGGTCAGCAAACAGAACTGGACGAGGTGAAATTAGTTGCTCTCCAGTGACTAATCAATACAGAAAGAATATATTACAAGTAGATTGTAATCCCATACTAAAAAACGAATTCAACCACTAATTCGTAACTAGCCTGATTTCATAGAAAAACGTTGCTTAACACATTTTACTTAGTAGTTTCATAGCAGATTTATACAAAACAAACAGTGTCAGAGGTCAGACAGAGAAATCTGAGCAGTCAGTAAAACTACCAGTTAGACACCACTTCGTCACGATAAGTTAATGAATCATCCAGGGAGAAATCACAGTAGCTTACTTTATACTGACGTTGGCGTTGATGTTGTTGTTTAGAAAGATAATAAAAGCTTCACTATTGAACCATTCAACTAGAAGAAAGTAAAACAACTACGATGGTTGCAATGCTAGCAGCTTTTTGAAGAACATACTAAAAAACAGATGATTTCTTAAAACATGTTCTTGGACCAAATCAAAATGTTCAAATTTATGAATCAGAGACTAAACATACAGCCTAATGTTACATGTGATAATTGATTCATTTAAATGCATCACTAACAATATCTACGCACTTGGAATAGTATGGCATTCCTGCTATTGAAACTAATTTATCCATACTAAAGAGACAGAAACTATTCCCAATTAATAAGACGTAATGCATTTAGAAAGTAACTATCATGAACCCTCTTGACTGGTATCGAATTTACAACACCTATACCACTTAACACGATATTGTGTAACATTTAAGTCACTATTTCCTGATGCGAATAACTTGGCAAAAGATGTCAATTTCTCTAAATTGAATTGTTTACGCTATATGGATGGGGAAACAGTTCCATTACCTTATTTTTATAAAGTGTAGGGTTAATATGAGTGGAACTGAGATCAGATGAGATACAGTCCTTTACGATGTCGTAATAATCGTCTCAACAACATAAAAAATATGGGGAAATAAATGAGAATAGACAATTTACATGTATATCACCAGGTTTACAAACAAAGTGCGAACACAAAATGAGTCAAATTGTGCAACAAGCAGTACCTGACAACTGATAGAGATAAAAATGCCTTCATTGTAATCCACTAAATCACCGATATGTACAAAGACATTATCATTTAATGTGGCATAAATAAGTAGTACGAGACATATTTGATTATTTTGTCTTGAATATGAACTAGTGACAAGGAGTACATTTAAAGTCTTTCCCAGTTTTATGCGGTATGGTGAAATGAAGGAGACAATAAACCGATTGTGTTCCATCAAATTCTTTCCTTTTAGTTTGTTTTAATCTTTTAAATTTCTTCAAACTTTCGTTTTTTAGGTTAAGAACAAAACAAAGGAAACACGTTCCACCGGTTGGAAATGGATTTGTAAATGCTCAAGAATACACTACATTACCATTCCTAGGATACCTGAACGGGATTGTGAATTTCTGTGCTGGCTGATTGAACTACCACCATCAAAATTACACTCGATTTTGTGTCAATTTCCGAATCGAAATGTAACACTAGCTGCCTGTTTCACACTTATGCCTTCAATACTGTTGTCATCAACACTATATAGAGGTAATAATTATTTCTTTTAAAAATGTTGTACGGAAAGCGAATTCGCTGAAATATTCCATGCTGTAAATTCCATACTGTATCATACATGTTGTTTGGAATAAAGCGATTATTATTTTTAACCATATGAAACAAACAACGAACTAGTATAATTGTTTTTATATCATACCGTCGTTGCTTGGACTGAATTGATCGGTCTTTATTGGCATATGGGCTACTGTGCGGATGCCTCGATATTGCCTGCGTTCTAATTATATTAATGATGGATTCCACTGCTAGCCACGATCCATCATTAATATAAACAATAAACTGTTTCAATTCATTGAGATTTACCATTTAGTTAGGTTGTCTACTTTACTCAATTCATGGGGTACTCCATTAGACAGAGCTAATCATCTGAAAGGTAGCGATATATTTAAGAATAACATTTCATCGCAGTGAAAAAGTCTGTGAAAAAGGACTTTGATTAAGTGTAGGTGATTAATACCTGTTTACTGAACTTGTAATTAAATGAGTTAACCATATTGCTTACAATAAAACACTGTACTAAGTCTCCACTTTCCCTACAAAATTTAACATAGTATTTTGTTATGAAAAGTTTTATGTCGAAAAGTGACTTACTTTGAACAAAGTTTGATAAATTTGTCGAGAATAGTAGTGAGATTTGATGATGAAGTAAATACATGGGTCGAAGTAAATCGCATAATATGCTCTTTTAAGCTGAATGAAGCCAAAATTGAAGCTCGGTCAAGTAGTTTAGGAGTTGTCTAAAAGTACAAACAGAAAAGAAGGAGCAATAGTTTCAGTTATTTCAGTGAAGTAGCTACTAGGCACTTCGAAATTGATCTAGCAATAAATAGATGAAGTTTACGAAAAATCACTAGATTATGTGCCAAACTTAATATAAGATGGATGACAACACCAATCCAGATCGTAATAAGTCGAACAGATGTGTCTATGATTCAAATTAACCAACATTAGTAATAAGAAAAAACTAGGAGAATTGTGCACTACTCTAAGTCATCCACTCTACATCAGTGAGGTGAAAAAAGAAGAAGGAAATTGACAATCAAAAAGGGGCTCACATCAATATTGACAAAAGAATGACAGAAGAAAAAAAGAGCAACTACAGATGGGGAATAAAGTGCATAGGATCAAAACGTACTAAAGAGTAAGCAGAAAAATGATATATAGATGTATCTGCGTCACTGTGATCTTTTTCCAATCATATTACTTGCTTTCTAATTATCGACGTTGGTTATCTGACGAAATAAAAAGACAGTACAAATATCTACAACTGGCACAGACCAACAGGTATCAATTTCATGTGAGATAAGTCAAACAGTAAATACGTGTAGCATCTATCTCAAACACATCACCTGCCAAAAGTTAACGGTATGACCAACTGCTTCACCTTCTTTCTTTAAGTAATACTTTATACTTGACATCACTAAAGCTTACACAATGCTTTCATCAAGCGGATCAATGCAGAGAAAACAATTTCAGTTTTAGCGTATCTTCGGTCATAAATAGTAATGTTTCACCTAAACATCAAAGAACAGAATGCGCCTCTTTACATTACGTCTAACCTTCAATCAATATTCATAAGTAAGAGATACATATCGATAATGCATTTTCGCAGGGTATTCAAGGTGCCCTGAACTCTACACTGCCGTGCAACAGAACTACATTGTTTATCTTCCCAAAATTAACCAAAACAAAAACGTTTCTCGTTATTATATTTCATCGCCAATCAAACAAATGGCTAACATTATACTATGAGAATTATGTTAAAATAAGAACCTCTAATAATCATCGGTTTTACAGTACAAAAAATTGATAGCCACTGTGGGTTAGATAGAAAGAAAAATTAAAGTAGGACCCAGCACAGGAAGGTATCAAATCAAGTTGCTAAAATCGAAAGTAGCATTCAAATAGAAATATGGATAAAGGCGAATGATGTTAACGTAAACAATAGTGTATGGGAAATGAGAGGATAAATGGACGCCTAAAATTTCGATGATAAAAAGTAAATCCATCTGCACTACGATAACCAATTTTGAAACATACGACGAAGAATCTGCAGCCACTGACGATTAACATTTCAAGGATTCCAACCGGACATCCTACACTTCTCAATACGACTTAAACCAATAGAGAAACTTCACAGAATGGTGTCATATCTTGGTCTGGTAAATCTCATTTTTTCCTTCAGCCTGGTCCTACTCCGGCTAAAATCGCGCGTTGATGAAGGTGATAGCTAGATATGGGCAACATATATCTAAAACAAGGTGGTGAACATTTCCTAACTCTATCTTACCCTCCTTGACTAGCCACTCTACGCCTAACCTCATTATTGGTCAAGTTGTAGATCCCCCATCCATGAGTAATGCTATGAAGACGCTTATGATCAGAAACTAACAACCCGTTTATTTCTTCTGATTTCTACGACTAATTCTCACAGCCGTACAAAGTGATGAAGCGAACTTTTGAGCACCATACCTGTCCTTAAACATATATTGTTTGATATCTTGCCAATGCCATAAGTGGTGAACGTTTAGAAACTGCCAAACGGGTCTTTTAACTCCAAGTTGAGATTCAGTCAGAAGCCAAACCATTTAACCTAATAAAACACCCCGGGAAAGTGAAATAGTCAAAGCAATGCACCACTCCCTTGAACTATGAGTTGGTGACAACCAATCCTGAATTATTGTTTTACATTTAATAGGCGTCAGTTTATTGGAGAGATGAAAAGACGCAAAGGAAACTCGAGTTTTGGAGGAAATTTAACACCAGATGAGATAATAAGTGAATACCTAGCTGATAAATTTGTGTGTTATGGTACAATTAAGGAGGAATATAATCTGACATATGTTTTAACTATTCCAAAGTAAAAACAGATGGAAAGTGCTGGTGACAAACTCGTTTAATGTTTGGATACTAACGGCAATGTAATGCACTTACTTATACACTTACAAATGGGACAGTCAGCATTGGCATTTCATGCAGCGCAGAAGTTATTTAGCTACTCAATTGTGATACAAACAAGACTTCCATTAAAATCACCCAGTCGAGATCACTAACTGTTAACTCCGACATAGAAGTCCTATAAACTAACGAAAACTACTACTGATAGTAGCTAGGAGCGGAATCCAGGATGCATGTTTTGTCTTATTTGGGACTCATCAGCCGGATGTACCTGACTCCCAGTGAGCGATGTTGTTCCTATTAAGACTAGGACTCGGAATTGACCGCTTCAAACGCCGGAGCGTTATCCACATGACCACTGCGTTACGATAGCCTCCTCTTGTACGACGGAAAACTACTACTGCTAAACAAAATTATTACTTGACAGCCAGCTAGTCATATATGAAGATTGCGTTAGTTAAATCAGAGTGATCCCAAAAATTGACAACCATTTTCATTGTTTTTGCCTGGAACTCACTAGTGGTATACTCGGGAAAAAATTTTCAGTTAACAAATACGTGGTGTCGTCTAAATCAATAAAATCTGGTTATTTCACTTGAATGGACCAATATTGCATAAAACATTCCAACCTTGTTGACACCACAGTTGACCCGTTGAAGAACTCAGTTGTATAATAAATATTAAAAAGTTCGGTACAATTATTTTTAAACAACTTGGAAAATAATATGTTATAATGATCCTTTCAAGTCAGCTAGCAAAATCTAGATAAACATTTAGACTCCTCTATGGTCTGGATTTATCTAAGTATTAAGTTTCACCCTGAATGAACGAAGCGATGATCAGGTGTTTGGACCACTCTGATTTAGTTAACAAGATCTACAGGCCTGTGTATGACCCCAAATATTTATGTTTTGTTCAGTGGTAGTATTAGCTTAACTCAATGTAGGATTGTCCCGAGTTAAATAGATTGATGAGTGAAAGGAAGCATTACACAAAAATTAGGTCACACATTTTGAACACACTGGTGATAACAAAAAAAAGTGCCAAGCCAAAAAAACTAGATTTAACTTTGAGAAAAAATAGTTGAGTGGACATGACTAATTAGTACCGTCAAGAATAATTTGTGGTCAACGTTAACGCTTACTTATTAGTAGTCAAAAAGGGGAACAAACTTTGAGAGATGATATTAAAATGTTTTTAAAACGTGTTGATTATTCTTTCCAAGAAGTGATTGTCTGTAATAACCACAGCAACTGAAATCCCAATAAAACGTGTAAAAATATATTACATATGTACTTGTTATGTCTTAACCGTATTCAAACTTCCACCAGATTTTATCGAGAATAACATTAGAGAACTCTAAACTTACACCAGGTTCAATTTGAATCCCACCTTCAATAGAACGAGATCGTTTAATGAGTGGTTCATTGGGATCATCTGAGTCTATAAAATTGAAAAAAGATGAACAATCACTTAACCCATAATCAATACCAGCATCATCATCATCAATATCAACGTAGGACCAGGTATTACTGCGTAACGGTCCGAGTTGCCACAGATCATATCAGTACATCAAGTAAAAAGGCAGTGAAGTGCAAGATGAAGATAAGAAAATTCAGCCAAAAGAAATATAAAGTACGAAAAGAGAGAAAAAGAGTAATCCAAATCACAAAAGCTGTGATAGTGATGGGTAGTGCAAATATGAGTATGACTGATATCAGCTACTTACGAAGAGAATCAGATTAGAATAAGTTCAGACTGCAATGTAATACTTGAGTTTGAAAAAAGGATAGATCAACGTAAAACCTCACACAAAAGTGAATCATCCCACAGCAACACACGAAGAGGTGAACCGAAAAGGAATGATATTGAAGAAGACGAAAACGCATAACAGGAAACAAGCAGACAAATCAGCGTAGAACCTGACACAGAAGTTCATCACTTCAGGTTGTCACACTTCATAGTAGTATGGAAATGACAAGTGGGTAGAAAAACAGTGACATAGAAGACGACAAACGTGTACAGGTAGGGAGAGAATTTCGGAAAAACAGGTTAGTGGAAATGCTTAAACTTTCGAAGATGTCAAACTGACTACATCTGCGCCATTATGATCGATTTGTAGCCATGTCACCATCAGTCACCCATCGCTTATTCCTATCACCTCAAGGACCCTAGACAAGCGCTCTGTACCTCCCTACATGACTCAGATACACAGTCAGGGACTTCAGACACTGATGCTACGTCTTGGTTTGACCTTCTTACAACCTAATCCGAATTCGGACGTCGAAGTAGGCAGTGGCTTGGAATGAACAACACATGTTCAAGCCACCCTTGTCAATGGACGTTGAGAAACCTCATCACTTAATCTAGACACTGCTAACATGGTGATTTCATCATACATGAGCAATCGTACTAAGATAGTTGTGGTCAAAAGTCAGTAGTCTCTCCCTATCCTCATTTCTTCGGGGGTAAACTTGCGCAGTCATACGGTAGAACAGAGGAAACTGCACCGCAAAATACTTATTCTTTAATAGATAGTCGGGTATCTCGTTAGTTCCACATGTGGGAAAATGCCAAAGTGGCTTTGTGCATTCGAGCTGAGATTTCGTCAGCATCCAGCCCGTTAGGGCTGATACAATTTTGCAAGTCAACACACTCAACCAACTCATTAAACTACGAGTAGTTACATACCAGTCCTGGAGCAACACCTCACATTTGACAGATGCGAAGCCTATGCCAAACATACTCAGATTTCTTCGCAAGGTGTTCAGAAGGCTCTGAATTTAGTAAGCATCTTCGTCTGCATATTCCAAGTCAGTCAGGAACGGTCCAGGATATGAACCAATCCCTGGAAAGTCAAAGGCATTTAGTGTAATGTCCACCAGAAAATCTATAACACAGGGCGATAAACGTGATGATAGACGATATCCTCCATCGAGACCACTGGTTGTCGTTACTGCATACGAAAACTCTCGATAAGGCCTCACACAAGCACGTGAGTTCGAGGATAGAGTTTTGATAAAGGTGAACAGTGTTCAAAATTTAGACAACGATAAGGAGCGAATGTATGTGTGCCATTGTGGCTGATTTTAAACAATGTCATCAGGAATTCCGAACTACTGGTCTGACCACCATAAATTTCGTTTCAACCTAGTCCTACCTTAATGCATTATAAATAAATTTTTTAATAACAAGATTATACATAAAATATACCACGTGTCGGTATGATCACCGGTGTTATTTCGATCGAAAATATTACCAAGGTAAAAAAGTTATCACTGTGTGTAAAACTTTCATGAGGACATTTATCATACATTAATCCATCCCAAATAATGCATAAACTTCTGACTAACATAGTACATTGGTGCAGGTTCATATCATTGACTAACCTGCCTAACTTACCTAATACTTAATGGATAACATAACACAGCATGTGGATTCACTACATGCGAATCAAAATATGATTTACATTTACATGTATATAATGATTATTACCAGAAAAAGAGATAAGAAGAATTTATACAATCGGTAGTAACTACTTCCCATGAAATAGGAACACAAAGGCGTAAGAAGATAACTTTTATTTTAATTGTCAAGACCACTGGGAATATACAGCGCCAAAGCACCTGACTATTTATCTAGATTTTCTACTTGGTTGGCTCTACTGGTCACGACTTGAAGGTTCTGGGTTCGATCCCTGATGGGGTCATGGATGAGCACTGCCAAAGAGTCGCATACTAGGATGAAACGGCTGTCCAGTGCTCTCAAGTTTCTAATAGTTTTCCAACTGATGTCAGTTCATGATGAATCTCAGCCTAGAGTCAAAAAGGAGATAAGTTGAATTTATTCAATAAGACAGTAATACATTGTGAGCTGTGGCTCAGTGGTTTAGGGAGATGAATATCAACCAGCCGGTCACGGGTCCGAGCCCCGCTTTACCCACCAAGGTTTAGGCAGCCAGGTAGCATCATCAGCCCTCACAATAGGCGTGGTTCATCGCCTCCTACACGAATGTGCGCAAGGTGGCTGAGCGCGTTTCATTCATATTGTTCTGCCTCTTTCTTAACACAAAATAACTGTGTTGCATGTCTGTTTATAAGGCTTTTTGAAATACTAAAGACGACTCACTAAATTAGGGAATATACTACTGTTATCACATTCATAAGTAAGCTGAAGCATTGGGTATTAATTTTCATTAATTTTCTTGACAGACAGAAACGTAGAACGACACTTTGACAAATCGATAATTTTCAGACAAAGGATGCTAGAATACAATGATTAGCTGATGAACACCAACTAATTTACAGGTTAATGAAAAGAAAATTCTGTTTGAAGATTTGGAAATCCTCCTCAGAAAGATATAAGAAGTAAAATTGTTGTTCATATTCATCTAAGTTACTTTTTTTTGACACTTTTGTCAACCAATTTTTAAAAAGTTGTGTATCAGATTTCAGTTAAGGTTTTTCGAAAGGGGTAAAGTCTTTCTCCTAATTCATCAAAGTAGTGCATTTGTTCAATACTTCAATCTAATGTTAACTGAAAACCGGGCACTAAAAAAGAGCTGTTCAAAAGTTTTATTTGAGCGAGATTAAAATACACAGTAAGTCATGTTAAATAATAATAATACAGCAACTTACGATAAGATTGATTCAAGAATTCTCTTGAGGCTTCTACAATGAATTGTTGCTCTGTTTCTACGTGAAGTATCTCCCCATTTGCAGGTTTTGAACAGGGTAAGCCGAATTCTTGTTCAATTTTTGACTTTAAAAAGTCCATTTTAATCGCCTCACCATGTACTAGTATTACATGTCTTGGCTGACAATGAGATATTAACTGCATAATGCCACGAGCATCTGCATGTGCTGAAAACGATAAGTACTCAACAGACATCTTCACTTCTAAAACTTGTTTGTCGAATTCAAGACGTCGAACTCCATTTAAGATCTGAAAACATCAAAATACTAATAATAGTGATAAAAAGCAGAACAAATGAATCATGGCTTAAACACTAACGTGATCTTAAGCATATCTCACTATTTTATTTTGTTAAGTGCTAATGAAGTCACTCAGGTTGCTGATGAAATGTACACAACATATTATCAAGCAACTACCATCACTTCTACTGACTGATCTTTTTTCCTACCTGGATAATAACTGAGTGAAAATTGCACAACATCAAGAATCCCAACAATTGCTTAGGTATTTGTAGATTACTAGTATACCAAAATTTGACTAGAGAGAGTGAATTGCTTAGTGAATAGATGATTCACATATAAAACACATTTGTAATAGAAAACTAAATTTATGACGGTTTGCAACTTCGTGAAAACCTCTTCTTCAGATAATCAAATTCATAAAAGTTATTACATGTTTAGACAGTAAGCAGAACAAACTTGATATAGGAGAATGATACCACTTGAAGATAATTAGAAGTTAACTGATTTTATTCTGATCAAGTTTAAGGTTTTCTTTTTTCAAGTTGTTACTCATCCTAGACTGACATCAGTTGGAGGAACAAAGGAAACCTGGGAGCACTAGACAGCTGTTTCGTCCCAGTATGGGACTCCTCAGCAGCGCGCACCCACGACCCCGCCAGGGGTCGAACCCGCGACCTTCAGGTTCCGCAGCCAGCGCGTTATCATTGAGCCACTGGGTCAGAATCCAATGCTCCATATTTCCAACTTCTTTTTTGATTGAAAGTAGATATCTGCAGCTATGTGTGAGCTATTATGCTATGAAGATTATGTCATCCTTCAGAGTTTAATTATCTTTTTTTTAATGCTATTTTACGACTATGACTAATTGACAAAGCCAAAGTAGAATCTCATACAGGAGTGCATCGGCTCAAGTTGCTACATTTCACAGAAGTACATAAAGAACAAGCGGATAGAATAGGAGTCATATCAAAGTAGATGAAGTAGTGTGAGAGAATAGGTAATCTGAAGATAAAGATTAGTGCAAATATTCAAGCTTTAGAAGACGTCAAGAAGTGAATACATCTGTACCATTGTGACTTAACATCCAGATACTATTTTACGACTATAGTATCTGCATGTTAAGTTGATCCTACAATAGAGTTCTGTAATTTAATAAACCTCCGCGATTTGTTTAGTTTGTTCACTCTGATTTTATCATTAACAACTCACTTCATTTCATATCGATTTGATATAACGAGATTAAAAAGTTTACCTATATTTCGAAAAGATGAAACTTAATATCTTTAAAAAAAACTATATGACAGACAGGGACTAGAAAACACGTCAAACTGTGTATAAACTAAGTGATCATTTGATAAGCCTCAGACATACTTTCGTTAACTGCCAGTGATACATAAAGTAAATTTCCATGATACATATTTTTTACTGACAATTGTTTAACTAGGTACTTCATCAAATAATAAATTTCCTTAACAAATGGCTATATAATTTATGATACCCGGTGTAATCGGAACTTTATGTTGATTTTTGTGCATAATTGTTATTGTATTGTATCCAGGGTAGATTGACAAGTAACAGTTTTTACCAATCGATTTGGTTGTTATACTGATAAGGATATCGTTTTTTGCAACACGTAGATAGACGGACATGAAATAACGCCAAACTCTCAAGGAATATAGAGAAAAACAAAAAACTAAATTCATTACTTATGCCCAGTTAGACACACTTGCCATCTGTGTTGCTACCTTTTGTGAAATAAAGTAGTGGTAAGAAATCTACTGATATAGAAAAATAAGTGATTTCTACAGCTGGGTTTTTATCACTAACTTTCGTAAACTTGAAACATTAAAAAAGGATCCTGAAACATTTGTATACGAAACCATGAATCACAAATTCTAGTATTTAACACACTACCAAAGTGAGTAAACGGTGCGTATAAGTACAGTTTGGTGGTAATGCAACATATCATACTTAGAAACGCAAGTTAGTATGGTTTGTAGCGAGAAAAGTTTGTGTAGTCAACTTAAAAGTCACCTATACTAGTTGTTTAATTGTGGCTACGAGTGTGAGGAAGCATGTAACATCACCAACCACCGCTGTATAAAGATAAAAAATGCATCTGGTACATGAGTAAAAACATAAAACAGGTTAATCCAACACTGTTATATCAAAGTATAGTAAAGGTTACACAAGGCGAAAGTGAATAGAAACTATGCTCAAAAAGTTACAAAAAAAGACTAACCTTGTAACCAACGGTTCCAGCAACACAATATCCAGGAATCACAACCATATTTCGTTCATCTGAAGCCCATTTACGAAATATATGTAAAGATTGGCCAGCGTGAAGCATACCAGGTGTAGCGAAGACTACCATTGGTCCTGGATTGTCTATTGTTCCTTGTCCAAGAGGCTGTTTTCCAATTTTAAAAGGTAAAAGTGAGTAAAAGTGGCCTATAGAACTATGAATCTTTATCATATCCGTGTATCACAAGGATGTAAAAAACTACTCTGCAACTTGACGGCTTTAATGACATTGGTCCTTTCTGGTTTCCTTTCTACAGCTGGACGCTACACTGAATATAAATATCTAAGTACAATGGGTGCTACTGTGTATGCTATGGCTCAGAACCGAAGTCAGTGGCGCAGATGTATACACACATTATCCTCATCTTAACAACGCTATACCGAATCTCACTATTTTGTCACTCCTCTTTCCTTTCTTCTCGTACTTTATATTTCTTTTGACTGCATTCACTTATCTTCATCCTTCACCTCACTACCTTTTTACTTGATGTGCTGATATGAGGTGTGGCAACTCGGACCGTTACGCAGTAATGCCTGGTCCTATGTTGATAATGATGATGACTGTGTATGCGGAAAAATTACCACCTACCGTGGTTTAGTTTCTTTTGAATATCATAATGACTCAAAAATGTAGGTAACACTTTACTTTTATGAATTTAACGAACAATAACAGACGCCTTTAGCTTACTCCTTTAGAAAAAAGAAACATGCTTTACAAAGGAGAGAAAAGATCCAAAGATATAACAGGGTTTAATCTATCAGAATTTATAACCCGTTGAAGGTTTATTGAGCAGTCTAGGAAAACTTCGGAGCGCACATGATTAGTTTTTGAAATACGGAGTATGAGGTGGGTTCAATAATGCATTATCAATAAGATACCTTATAAACTAACAGTATTAATGTCAAGATTAATAGAGATATTACATGAAAATAAGACAAGTAAATTACAAGTTTAAGGCTGATACTAGCTTGTAGTGAGACTGTATTTCAGCATATGAAGACTAAAATCAAAAACCCTAAATAGAACAAGAAAAATATAGTAGGTATAAACAATGGTCTGAATTCCGTGAAACTTCGTGTTCTTAAAATTAATAGAAAACGTTTTAGGTGGAAGTTACGAACAATTTAGGTAGATGAAGAACTATTCACTATCAACTATCTCGTAATCAAAACGGTATTTTCATACCAATTGTAGTTTCAACAAAATATCTAACAGTTGATACGGCTCTTTATTCGTGAATGCTTAATTTACCTTAAGAAATCAACCTTGATGGCTTAGATACATTATCGATACCAGTCTCGTAACTTTAAATCTACACATTTTCTGATGCTTCAATCATTTGGAAAAAGAGGAAAGGTGAACAGAAAATGATATAGCACCGTTGAATAAACGACGATGGTATTGGGCTAGCATTTGATGCGGTTTCATTTTTCCCTATATTCGAAGAATATATACGCATTACCTTAAACATCGAAGCAAATGCTTACAGCTTTCCCACTTAGAGGTCACGTTTTATCGTTGGAAGGTAGTACAGGACGAAGCGGAATGCTGTGAAATATACTCATCCTTTATTGGGTAATCAGATATCGTACAAGTCTAAAAATAAGACAAATTAGCAAGTGTCAAACGAGTTCATTGTAGACCTATAGAGATTTCGTCAGCCGTCAGTTAACCATATTCGATGAACACAAACATTTTCATCCAGGAAATCTTCAAGTACAGATGCTTGGATCAAACATTACGTGGACGACAAAATATGCAACAACGGTAAAGATTTTAGTAACAGGTAATTATTTTTCGCTTCTCTATACCAACACGATAATAAACTATGGACAACGGTGGCGAATGCTAAACATTAGAATATTAGCTGGTTTTTAAAGGCACTTTTGGCAGAATTATACTAACCAATGAAGTTTAAGAAGACTGTCATGAGCCACTTTAAACGCACTAAAAAGAAATGTCATTGCAAATGAGCTGAAAAAGGGTAGCAGTACAAGATAGCTGACGTTTCTCGTGGTATCTCCCTCCAGCCTAGTTTCAAAGTTTTAAAAACTCTAAACTTGGAATTTATGTGTACTTGTAGTAAATGCTGTGTGTGAAAATAGGGCAAAATAAGAATCTACAAACTGTTTTAACTTGTTTTTGAAGTTTTAAACGCTTTGTTGCTCCTTCTCAACAAAACAAGTGTAGTGTAGGATGACTTTTACAAATACATGCAGGTACTGTGAGTTACTAGAATCCTAAGAGATGACTTATACTTAGCAACTCTTTTCGCCTAGACAATTACCATGTTTATCTTATTACATATTGAACATATACAATTTAACCTGAAATCGTAAGTGCGAAAAATTACTATCGTACTTCTATAAAATGAATACCGAGTATCTTTTAGTGTTCTACAATGGAAAGATATTTGAGTAGCCTAGACAAAATAAAACTATATTGAGTTAGCACAGTCATTTCCATCGGATAATATTAGTGTTAAATATTACTCAGCAATTATATACAGGTTCTTTAGCAGTGCCTATAGCCGTTCGAACACTGACAGACGGAGCAAAGTTTGAACAGGTAACCCTTAGACTGAAAATTGAGTGATTAAACTAATAGGTCAAATTTATCGGTGAAATTCTAGTAAGACTCCTAGAATCCGATTGAAAAGAAAATTAGGAAAATGAAATATCTTTAAGGCAGATAGCATAAGTACACTTTAGAACAATTAGTGACAAATTATGAATAATCTTTAACAGGCAGCTGAAGGGGAGAGAACACATAAAATTTACTTACCTTTATATGTTTGAAGTCAAACATATTGCGCTTTACAAACGTCTCTTTGATTTTTTGATTGGTCCAAGAGATAAATAGCTTATAATATTCATTAGCCTACAAGAAAGTCAGATTTCTACAGTTAGATGCGATCACCTTTTCAGCCATACCCATCGAGAAGTATATTGGCACTGATATATTCATTCTTTCCCAATACGTCTCAAGTAATATACATAGTTCCTGAGCCCTACCCAAGGCGAAAACGGGAATCAAAACCTATCGGTGAAACAAGTGACAGAATAATTACTTTACCACCAGCTTCAACGCGCGCATGAATCTTCTCCAGGAACTCCCGCTCCCTTGTACGTTTTGAATCTCGTATTGTTGTTGCATAAGTACTTTCTGTGATGAGAAGATCTGGACGACAACGAGAAACCCAAGCTGCTCCAAGATGTCTGTCAGGTGTCATATTATAATCACCCTGAATAGTTTCAGTAACATTTTTAAGGAAAAATAACTCACAGTATATAAAACAGACTTCGCTCCTACACGCACAAGAAACATCGCTGCTCCTAGAACATGACCCGCATAAAATGCTTGTATTTCAAGTTCATCATCTACCTTTAAATCTATTTAAGATTATGAAGTATTACAGCTACCTTGACAGTTTGATGTATGTATACACATTTAACTTTAGCCATACATCGGTATATCATATCTGAGGTGAAAAAGTTTTGATCTCCTCTTCGCTCAACATTGATTTTACGATAATCTTCCTATGTATATAAGGATCAGGTAAGGGGAATCTTGCCAAAAGTATCGGACAAATTGCTTTGGTAGGATGAGTCATATAAATTGGACCATCATAACCAATTACTTCGGTCATATAAGGTAGAGCACCACAGTGATCTAGATGAAAATGACTGAAAATAAGGGTATACACAATTATGTACATTTGGCAAACCTAATAATAACACAGTCTAAGTAATCACTGAGACTTCCTTTGTCAGTGATGTATGTGAAGTCAGGAAATCTTCTCTTTAGTGACCAACAAGTCAACGTTCAAAAAGAAAGAAACCTACATCATCATTGTACCCCATGTGCATTCCACAATCAAACATAATGTTCTTGCCCCCTAGTGTGACGAGAATGCAACTCCTTCCGACATCCTGTCCAGCACCTATTGCAAAAAGGTGATAATAATAAGTCATATAAAACTAACCCAACGGAATGACACGAATAGAACTCATGATGCTGTTATACTTTTTTGTCAACCATATATTAGCTGGAAAAAGAAATAAGAAAAAAGTTAGTGAGATCGTCAGTAACTTAAGCGCAAGTATCCAACTATTGGGACGTGAATTCCAAAACTCGTTGAAAAAAGATTAAATGATACAAAGCTTTTATATCGAATAATTAAACCAATAAGCCATATTTCCACATATGAATGTAATACACAAATCTACTCACAAGTTCATTAACTTGAAACTCATCACGAAAAAATGAGCATTAACTTGCAACAAATGAGCAACTAGGTGTAAAACGGAATCATTCAGGAATGCGCCATCTAGCCACTTTATGTACTATTTTTGTAAATGTTTTACAGGAATATAGGAGTAAGACTTTGGGACTGTGGTAGATTGTAATTCTATTTTAGTATGATTATTAGAAATGTCACAGAGTGAAACAGTATCATTTACTAGATAACGTTTCGGACATAACTTACTGTCCATATTCATATTACGTAACTCCACAACTTTGAGACAGTTTCTTGGTTTTAATCTTCTCTCCTTCTTTGTCACACTAACCAAAAGAAACCATTTTTCACCCCACAGAGCCACATGTCGCATACTAGCTGTTGGTCCGCTTCTTTCAACCAGTTGTAGGATTGGATAAAAATGAATGAGTTGGCAAACATTGGCACGAAATGCACAACATATCTCGGCTACCGAAAACGGTGTTTTAAGATGACCTTGCTTATTGAGTGACGATCTCCATCACACCCAAACACCACATCACCTCAGGATTACTTACATGGTGTTTCCAGTGGGTGCGAGGAATCCCGATAAAATAACGGGGATGGAAAGTGCAGTCACTGAACATCCTCAGTTCCAAAAGGCCAGTTTTCACAGATATGGAATGAAACCTTCCACATCGACATGTTGCGTAGCCGACCTTATACAGCAAGATTAACGTCGCGATGCCACCAGGGGTGACTTATATCGGCATATGACGCTTTGGTTTCCCAGATACGATTAGAAACCTCATCAGTTACACATCCGCTGGCACTAAAACAACAACCTAAGTACACAAACTTTTAAAAAACTTTCAACAGTTTACCAACAGGAGTGAGTGAAGATACAGGATCCTGTCAGCCTCGTAGAAGCATCTCGCATTTCGATGGCGAAATGCATACAACAAACTTACGGACAGTGATAGGTAACTGATCAAGTGCTGTTTAGGTAGCCTGTATGTTGTCGCATACTCGAGGTAGAAGTCTTTCAACTGGTAAGAGGTCTGCACCGCCACTACCACCATGAACCTCCTTCGGGGCTCCCTAGAACTTCAACAAGGGCACAGTTAAGGAGGAATGACGAAAACGGATAGATTGACCCAACCGTATTATCTACTTCCAATAATGAGGATAGACGGGTATATACAATCACTCCACCTTAGGTATTGAATCACAGGGCCTTCAAGTTGTTAAAAAAACATCTTAGGGATACCCGTAGCTAAAAGATAATTTCACAGTACATACTTGTCCAACGAATCAAAGGTAGCCCTAATACCGAGGAATACAACACCTGCTGGTTTGCGATACATGTGACGGTGTCTCAGAGTCTAGTGGTGAGTGAACACGTGATCAGTGCATAAACAAACTGGACGAAACCCAGCTTCCTCATGGTGGATCAGTTTCCCGCGCAATTTGCATACCCTGCGACACAAGGCTTCTGGCTGTCACTGGCTCGGATGGGCTGGAACAGCTTCCGTCTGTTGCTAGATGTAGCCGCTGCTTCCACTGCACTCGCACGTTGTGAACACCAGGCCTTGTGGTCCTTACGCAAATGCTGTTTGGTCTGTTGCGTAAGGGAGTTATGCCCAGCCCTGTACTCTATGTCTGTCAGGATACACCAATGAGAGTTAAAAAGCAGCAAAGAGACCCAGTGTTTATTAACATGACGTTCCTCAAAGCCAGGAGCACATTTACTTACCATTTTCATGTTTTTAAGTGCGGCCAATGCTAATATATACCTTTTAGAGGTTCAATAGCGAGCTAGCTCGGTTTTGTACTTAGCTGTAACATTAAATGCAACTAGTTTGCTTACTTTGATTCGTTTCAGATGAATTTTGACGACCACCTATACCTAATGTGAACACACTAAAGAATCGAAATGTTTTCAGCAACCACGTGCACATTCGTGAAGTAGACAGTTGGTCACACCTATTACGTGGGGTCTAATGACACTTCCTAGCTGCCCACATAACCGTGGAGCGGGTTTCAAATCCGCAATCTATCGTTTGAGTCACCCAACTCAATCAATGAGCCACAGCTCCACACACATACTTAAGTGTGTAGGGGTCTAAACGCCTAAACTGACCACTCACGTCCCCAGCTATAAAAACCATATCTGTCTTGTCCATCGCAACTGGTAGGAGTCACTCAGTTGATTGCAGAATTCATTCTTAAATGCATTCGGGTTGCAGTCAAGGCATAGGCAAAGGGAATAAACACATCTTCCCCCGTGCCAGTTACTGGTCAATCCGACTGAACCTTGTATTAAAGAAGCAAACAAACGGCTGATCAAGGGGATCTAGTCGACTAGTGCAGCCTCGGCTCTGGTAACTAATGCGACGGCAACTCCAGTAAGGTGGGCTGCTGACGCCGCAGAGTCACCAGATAAGCGCACTGTTAATACACTTTTTAAGCTGACAGATGGGAAATTAATTCAAAGCACTTGAGTGGAATCTTGAATGTTAGTCTCCAACATACAGCTTACGTCACCTATAAGGTCATAACTCAAAGTAGTCAACTCATGACCAATAAGTCAAAATTTTGAATTCTGGTTAGGTAGGTCAACATGCAACTACTGCGTTCATCCTTAACTTTTCAGCAACCTAGTTGTTTCGTTTCGCTCTGCTCTCGATGTTTGTTTCAGTAATTTACTATTTCTATTCCATTTTCCTGTTTGTTTTTGAGAAATATGCAAACTATGAGTTACTTTCGAAGCAAATACTATGATGTTTTACGTGTCTGCATACGGAGCTTCAAAAATATTTACCAAACTATTTGATACTGTATGTCGCCTTGGGATATTTTAAGTTAAATGGATTTATAGTAATAAGTAACACAGATAATTGATGAAATTAGGAATTTACATCTTATAAAAATTATTTGGTTTCATAAGATACCCATGCATAGGCTGATACTCGTTGTCAGACAAAATTAATATGTAATTCTGCAAAAAAGTGCACCAGTTTTAGCTGTCCACTTCACTGCAGCATACAAAGACCAGGGGAAAAAAGAGTGACGTGAAGGTAGTGTCTGGGAATAGAGAGAATTTAAAAAAACGGAGGTTACTGAAAATGTCCAAACTTTCGAAGATGTCAGATTTTAAGAATCCGCAACATTGTGACCGATTTTAGGTGACATCACCAAGCACCTCCAAACACTGATCCTTGGAACCACAAGAACACCAGCTAGGCAGTCTATACCTCCCTACACAGCTCAAAACAACAGTCCAAGGCTTCATGGACTGGTGCCATTTCATGGTCAGCCTTCTTCCAAACTGATCTAGGTAAGCTCTACCTAAGCATGTGCAATATGCGTCCAAACCACCTCAGTCAGTGAAGGATTAATAACTCATCGCCTGACTTGTCTTCCTTAATTAGTACACTCCAATTAATCAATAAACCAGTCGGTATCTATATGGGACGTGGGATTACTGAGTAACTGTTTAAGCTGCCATACCTCATATTAGCATACCAAACGAGAAGGTACCTAGATGAGACAGGGAGATAAGGAAGGAAGTATTCAAAAGTGGTAGAAAATCATGAAAAGAGGGAATGAAACAGTAATGAAGTTTGGCATAACCATAGGGATGGAGATAATGTGTGAATACATCTGCGCTACTGACACCAACTTTGAGCCATATCACTTGGAGTGCCAAACCACTGGCTTCTGTTGTAATGCGGACCCTAACCTGGAAATCTGAATTCCCTTACACAGCTCAAGCCAGTACTCAAAAACTTCAGGTAATGACATTACGCTTTAGTTTCGCCACCTCAAATCTTTTTTCAACTTGAATCTACTTAAGTCAGCATTTCACGACGAGGCGAACAGTGACTAGACAGGTGTAGTGTATGTCCTAAACACGGAAGCCGATGGAGGTTTGTAATCCCGTCAACTAACTTACCTTTGCTCCCTAGAACTTCACATCTGACCTCTACTTTACTGACATGGTGACACCACAACATGTGGTCTATGCTGCGAACGCAAAGACAGTCGAACACCTTATTATTATTATTAGTCCCTTGGATTCCTAATGGAACATAGGGCTTCAGTAGCACGTCTCCAGTGAACTCTGTTCTCCGAAATCTTTTGAACCTGGCTCCACGACAGCCCACAACCTCTCACTTCCTCCTCGCACGACCTCCTCCATGTCACCCTCGGACGTCCAACTCGTCGCCTCCCATGGGGATTCCACTCGAGGGCCTGGCCTGACGCGTGACGTCCCAAGTCGGCCTTCTCAATGCATGCCCAATCCATCTCCACTTCCTCCTGCATATTTGCTGCGTGATAGGTTCTTGGTTGGTTCGTTCCCAGAGTTCCTTGTTGCTTATTCTTTCTGGCAATCCATCTGATCTTCAGTAGCGAGCCAGCGTAAGCAGTTGTTGATGAATGTCTGTAGTTTATTGGAAATCCCTTTCGTGACGCGCCAAGTCTCTGAACCATACAGAAGCACTGACTTGACTGAGGTTGGTGTTGAAAATCCAGATCTTGTTTCACATGCTGAGTGCAGATCTCCACACTGGTTTCAGGATAACGAACGCCTGTCTTGCTTTTCCGATCCTGACTTTGACATCCTCGTCTGTGCCTGTGCCGCCTGTAGTCGAAACAGTGCTTCCTAGATAGGTGAAGGAGGTTACTTCCTTTAAGTTTCTCCCGTTGATGGTGACTGGAGTTTGTTGTTGTTGTTGTTGGAGTTGTTGGTGGTGCGGTATCTTCATCACCTCTGTCTTCTCTATATTCACCTGAAGTCCCGTCTTCCTTCGCTGCCTCTTCTA